AGAACTCCACTTACATGAAGTATTGAACCTGGTCACACTCATAGAAAAAGAGAGTAGGATGGTGGTTCCTAGGGTCAGGAGGAACTGGGGAATTGTTTATGGGTATAGTTACAGTAAGACAAATAAGCAAGACACATAAGTTCTAGAGATCTGTTGTACAACATAGTACTTATAGTTAATGATATGATAGTGTATGCTTTATACTATGTTAAGAAGAAAGGGCTTATCGTAAATGTTCTCACCATAAAACCAATCAACCAACAAAAACAAAACAAAATACAACACAACAATAACAATAACAACAAACAACCCAGAATACAACAACAAAAAAAGAAAATCCAAAAAAGAACATGAGAAAAAGTTTGCACCTTGATTGTAGTGTTATGAGTAAATTTATATGTCCAAACTCAGTAAAATGTTTACATCAAGTAAATGCAATGTTTTTGTGTACCTGTTATAACTCAATAAAGTTTAAATTCTGCTTTTGGATATAAATGCTTAGGGAAAACCAGGCCATTCAGATCAGGAAACACCATCTACTGGGAAGTTTTGAATGTGGCTATAATATCTAAAAGGAGACGAAAAAGATCTTCTGATGTGAGAGCATGGAAATCCAGCTCAACGAGGGGATGAGGGACATAGTGCCGCACCTGCACCCTGCCTGTCTCATACCTGGCCCTCCTGTGGCTCCGCACATCACCTTCCTCAGGTGTCTGCCAAGGAGCGCTTCACTTTTAGGTTATGGACCTTTGGAAGCTGTCAAAGAAGGGGTTTGTTGGTGTCAGGTAGGGTCTTAGAAGACCCTCCCACCATTTTTCACCCACACATGAATGAGATGTTCTGAGGACCACAGTGGAAGAAAAAAGGCCACGGTCTTTGCAGGGAAGTGCAAATCAGCAGATTTTATTTTATTTTGGTGGCAGAAGATGTGAGCAATGTGACATGATTCCGAGGTGCCAAGAAAGGGCCTAGTTCCTTTTTAAATTCCTTTTTTCCCCCCCAAATCCTTTGCTTGACATTTGCCTGCTTGACCTTTCCTGGAGAACACAGGATATGGTGGAAAGAGGGCTGAGTGATGACCGCTACCAACCAGCTGTGTGTCCTTCCACAAAGGAATCTGCTAGTTCTGTATTTCATTTTCTTCGTCTGCAAAATAAGGCAGAAAGTTGAATAAGGGAATTCTAAGGATCCTTCTGTGGCCTGAGAGTTCATATATCTATTGGGGATTTTTATTTCACCAGCACTGGGGCTCAGACCTATGGGATAGGCAAACACTCCCACTGAGCTACATCCCCAGCCCTCTGTTTGGGCTTTAACTTTGATGACATTTAAGTCACTTGAGAAGGGACCTTTTTGCCAGCCACAAAAGGACTGTCTCAGAACTCTTCCCAGGGATGGGTTTGGATGGGGAGAGAACATTTGAGAACCAGGCAATTAAGTCCAGGAATGGGGGCCAAGTTCCAGGAAGGAATGTCCAGAGACAAAATTTCTACACATTTTATTCACTCTAGAGGGTCAAGCAGAAAACTTAGCAGCAGCGGTCTTTCCAATGCCTTGTTGATGGCAGATAGGATGTGAACGTGAACTTTTAAAGCACCCACAAGAGGTAGACCTTTCAGTTCTGCCACCTGTCACCTCTGTCAATCTCTGTGCAGCCACCAGCTCTGTGGAATTCCTAAAGCACAGGGCAGTGGCAATTGCTCTGACCCTCCCTGCCATTTTGTGGTGAAGATCTATAATTTTGTATTCTCAGAGCAGCATCTTTCTAATCTTGGAAATGCCCCTTCCTTAATTCTGACCAAGTGGTTCACAGGAGAACTTCCATCTCCCTAGTCTAAATACCATCCTAAATACCATCCTTCTAGTCTTCACTGATTGGCCAACATGGGCCAATCCCTGTCTCCCATTTCTTGGCCTTCTGCCATCCGAAAGGTTCTTTTTTGTTTTAATTTTGCACTATAACAACTGGTTTTCATCTTCTTTGTGGTATGTAAAGTATGGGAACAACCAGAGAGATTTTCCCCCTCCCTGATTTGTGGAAGAAGTAGGTTTAGGAAGAAAATAAAGCTGATATTCAAGAGAAAATCACAGACAAAAGAGAAATTGCTCAATTCAGGAGTTGCTGGTCTCAGTTGTACCCCAGGCTTAGCGGCATCCTGGCCCATCCTCTAAATGATGTTGAGAAATTTCTGGTGTACACTTGAAGAATTCAGGATATTCCGGTAAATTCTGTGTGTTCGAGTTATACTAGGTTCTGGGCTTCTGTCATTTGCAACTAAGATCTCATTAAGAAACCTAAGGGCTATAGGTCATTCTCCCTCATGGTCTCATTCTCCAGGCCCATAAAGTGAAGGGTGGGACTGGATTCTTGAGTTCCTTCTGACTCCACCCTTCTGTGAGGTTCAGATGTAGAGACTCTGAGAAAACTTTGAGAAACCTTATAATGAAACAATTGAAGAAACTGTCTTGGGACTATTTGCCTCTGGGAGTGTTTTGGGCTAGGGGGCAGATATGCATTGAATTGCATCAGGATGAATTAACATGATTATCTGGTCATCTTTATTTGGGGCATCTTCTTTGTTTGTGAGCAATAAGGGCCCATTGGGTAAAGTGCTGGATTATCAGTCATAGATGACACTCAACTTAATTGAGCCAACCACTAACAATCTTCCTATTTGGTGGCCTGGAACAGTTTGCCTGTGAATCGGAAAGCCTGGGTCATTTGACCTCTAATATTCCTATTAGTTCTAATAGCTGTGAGAGACTATAAAAATCCTGCAGTTCTAGAACATATAAAGCTAAAGCAGGAATACCAATAATGAATTGACAGAGAAGTTTTTGTGGCAGGATAAGTCCTTCCAAAGTCCTTCCAAGGCAAATTTATTGGTACTAGGTGTCCCTCAGCCTTAAATTGGCATGAGATCCACCCAAGTATTGATGGGGAAAGATAGTGACCATGGATCATAAAGTGAGAATTGAAGATATGTCCTTCTTATATCCTTCCTAGTATCCCCTCCAAGTCACAAGTCACAACTTCTGGGCTCCAGGGAACAGATATCCACTTGGAGCAAATCTTCTTTTTGGAAGAAGAGAGGGTTATTCTTTGCAACCAACTCAGATCAGGTCTTGGCCTTGTCTGATCTACTATGTCTAGGAAGGTGAGACTACATGTGAATAGGTGGATCCGAGTCCTTGCCATCAGCAGTGGCTGTGGTGATAGTCTGCAGAATACAGCAGGAACCCAGGAAAGTACCCAAGAATTTCCTATCACTATCTACTCACCTGTAGCTTCATGCCATCTCTAAGCCAAGACCCCTTTCTTTCCAAAAGTCTAGAAGGAAAATACAGACATGCAAGAATCCCTCAACCATTTCCAATTGTGGAATTTGGAGACCATTTTGTGAGTGTTTGCAGTATGGTATAGGAGTTAAGAGTGCTCATTCTGAGCTGGACTGCAGGATTCAAACCTTTGCCTCTTTCTGTGGGAATATTGGGTATCCACTCAAGCACTCATCTCTTATAAATGGGAGTCATAATAGTATGCAAGTCATGGGATCACTGTGTGGATTAAATGAGCTAGTGTATCCACCAATCAATCCATCCATCAATCATCTATTTTAGAAGAGTGAAGAGGCGTGCTGTATAGATAGTAAGCAGTTAAAATAGTCTTTGCTATTATTATCTTGTTGGATTTTCCTTCAAAATTGTATTCAGAGATGGAAGGAAAAAATAATCTAAACTTCTTTTACTTTACTTTTATGGGTCCTAATACAATGTGTGAAAATGTGACGAGAACTCATTTTGGAGGTTCATTTTCTAGAGCCGGCCACAGGGTGGCTGAATCAGCTTAATAATCATTTTAGTTTGCTTTTATATTAAGCCATTGAAGTTCATTTCATTTAACAGACACATGATAAGTGTATTTGTTTATGTGTATGATGTGATGTTTTGATCAAAATGAACATTGTGGAAAGATGCAATCAACCTAATTAAGTAAGTTGAATTCATTCAACTTAATTCAATGCTTCCTGAAAGCAGGGTTTCAGTTTCCTCTGCAGCCTGGGGAAGGGGTGGGTATGTCCAGGGCTGTTCATGAAGTAGAACTGAGGGACTCAGCCATGGGACCCACTTCCTGGTGGAAGAGGACACCTTTCTTAAAGGACAAGGTGGTGTCACTTCCATAGCTCCTGGGGGACCTGTCTGGAAAGGTGTTCTTCCCCCAGATTCCCTCCCAATTCCTTTCCCAGTAGGAACAATTGCTCTTGGGAGAAACCAGTCTCACAGAGACTTTAAGGAGCCAGATCCTGAGATGAATCATTAGGAGACGCTGTTTCTTAGAATAATTGCTGCTTTGCTGCTTGGCATTGGGACAGTTTCTGAGCTTCTTTAGAGTTTTACTAAAGAGCATCCGTCCTTAGGAACTCTGGTTTTGTGGGATGCTAATAAAAAAGAAGTTCTGTGACTAAATAATTCAGAAAAATCATGGTTTAGATAAAGTTGATGAGGTTTCTTAATTGTAGGACTTTACCTATCTTCAAATGTGCTGTAATTCAATATGACTTTCCATATAGGAATATAGCATAATGTGGTTTCCAAGCTCCAGATGTCCCAAGACACCTGGTGGTATGCAGGAGCCTTCTGTTAGTAGTTCTAAACCTTGCTGCACATTGCAATCACCAGGGAATAATGTCTGGCTCCTATACTCAGATACTCTGATTTAATTATTCAGGGGTACAACTGGGGCCTTGGGATTTTATTATTATTTTTAATTAAAAAGAATTTTTTTTTGGTACCAGGGATTGAACCCACAGGCACCTCACTACTGAGCCAGATCCCCAGCCCTTTCTATTTTTAATTTTGAGACAGGGTCTCACTAAGTTGCTGAGGGCCTCCCTAAATTGCTGAGGCTGGCTTTGAATTTCAGTCCTCCTGCCTCAGACTCCTGAGCTGCTGAGATTACAGGAACGTGCCACTGCCCCTGGCTGTGCCTTGGGGTTTTAGAAACTCCCCAGGAGATTCTTATATGCAGCATAGCTTGAGAATTACTTCCCTGAAGTTGTCTTGTGTTGAGCAACTTCCGGATGGGCTTAGTTGACAGAGTGTTGGCCTGCTTTGAGTTATTGTTTTGCCACCAAGAACCTTCCTGGTTATCTCTGTATCTAGTTTTTAAAAATTTTTCATAAGACAGAAAAACATCAAAACTCTCTCAGTGCTCCTACAAGGAAGGAAGACATCACTGGGACTTTGGAGCAATCAGGCTCTTCAAGAACATGTCTTTATTATTTTCATTTGGTTTATGGCACAGGGTTCCTTTGCAGCCTGGGGAAGGGGTGGCAGAAGGTCAAGTGGGGCAAGAGCTCCCCAAAATGCTCCTCTAGGCACTGTCTCTAGATATAGTTTTTGAGGATTAATTCTATCAGGTCGCCTGGGGTGCCCATTAGCAATGTAGCTTCCTGCTCCCCATGAGAGCTGCACTGTCCCCAAACCCATCGTGTGGGACAGTGGTGTTCACGTGGTAGACAAATTCCCCGGGTAGCTCTTATGCATCCTGAGGTTTCAGAACCAGAGCCCTGGTGCAGAATGTGGTCATCATCAAGTGGGTTCTGTTTCTCTGAAGGAAGTCTGTTCACAGCTCACTCGCACCTGCCTCTGTCACATGCTATCTTGTGACGCCCCACTTGCACCATCCTCTGCTTCTGCCACATGTCAACGTTCAGTCACCAGTTCCAGCCGGTCCCGGTGATGGAGAGCAAAAGTGCATGCTACTGAGACATAGGAAGGCTCTAAGGACAAAGCAGGAAGGAGGCAAGACTAGAAATGAGCCCCATCAGACCCTGCTGAGGGATGGCAAGACACGGGAGGGGGCTTTGGGAGTTTGAAATGAAAGAGAAATCTTCAAAGGTATTAGAGCCCTTGTTAGGAAGTCAGGAAATCACCTTCCCCTGGAGAGTCACCTCAGGAACCAATTAGAGGTACCATGCTGGGGCGGTGAATATAAGAAGTGCCACCAGCAGGGGTGAGGGCTGGAGAGGAAGCAGGGGGAGAAAGGCTGGTCTCCTAGCTCTGCTAACTTGGTATCGGTCTGCAAAACCTCCCAGGAAATGCTAGTGTCAGAGAGGTATTGCTTTGTCAAGGGTGAGAAGAGAGATTCCACGAAGTGAGAACAGGGGATAGAGGTACTAGAAATGACCCATGCCAATCAGGTTGCTGTGACTGTGGACACAGGCTGCACCATTGCTTACTGAAAGGGAACACAGGCAAGGTAATTAAGCCCAGGGAGGAAATGTGACTTGCCCAGGGTTTCACACTTGATGTGGATGAACCAGAACCCAAGTGTCCTCTGGATTCCCAGGTTACAGGCAGAGGAAACAGCAAACAGAGGATGAAGACACCTGCAAAGTGGAATTTGGGTAAGGACAGTTCAAGCCCAGCTGATGGCCTGCAGGGCCAACTTCTTGTCTTTGTTACTATCCTTTTCCGGTGAGCTCAGCATTGGCCTGACTGCTGGTGCCCAAGCTATTCAAACATGACCAAGGTGCTCCTGACAGCCTTGTGCTAGAACTCCATCAAGGACCTCCAAATCTATTAACCCAGACTCCTGTCCAGTAGCACTCTGACAACATCAGACTGCAAAAGCATTTCTGCTTCCTCCTGATTTCAAATTTGTATGCTGTTTATTATCAAGTTTCTTCCTTTATTAGAGTCTTTGGGAATAACTGAAAATTGCGTCTGGAGCTTTTTTAGGTGCCTAAAGGAGCTTATGTTTGCTGTTGTTTCCAGGGTTAATGCTAGTGTGTGTATATATTTATATAAAGCCTCAGTAAACCAGCCAGCTCTAATGAGGATAACAGCTGTTTGTTAAACATTCATGTTTGTAAACTGAGAATAGATTTATTCCTATAAGCAGAGCCCGTTGCTGATTGCTAATGAGTGTTTTTTTGGTTTGTGCTCTTTTGTTCATAGAATATTAATTTTCCTTCCTTAAAGTTTTCACTTGAAATTGCAAATAGCCCACATATATCCGTAGAATGCTTTTCACTTTTCAATGTGCATTTACATCTGTTTTAATTTATGCATTAGCTCCTAAGCAGGGCAGATACTACGATCACCTTTTGGCAGAGGAAGAAATTGAGGTCGAGAGAGGTTAAGTGCCTTGGTCACATCAAACAGCTAATTGGAAAGCGAGTTGCAAATACAAGATCTGACTTGTAACCTAGAGAATCACTTGCTTTCCATTCCTACTATAATAGAACCATTCATCACTTGTTATATTACCGCGAATTCCAAACTTGCTCCTATCACCCTGAGATGGCAAAGCGTGCTGAAGTCAAATGACGACATGTCAGACACTCAATTTAAGCTTTATTACTTGAAATGACTTGAACTTCTCTGGAGGGGTCTCCTCCTCTGGCTCCTGGTGAAGCGCCAAGTGGATGGCTGAGGTGAATCACACCTTGGTGACTGAGTTCTTCCTCGTGGCCTTCACTGAGCACCCCGAGTGGGGGCTTCCCCTCTCCCTGGTGTTTTTGAGCTTCTATCTCACCACTCTGCTGGGGAACGCTGGGCTGATCCTCCTGATCCGCAAAGACCGCCGACTCCACACTCCCATGTACTTCTTCCTCAGTCACCTGGCCTTCGTGGACATCTGCTACTCCTCTGTCATCGTCCCTCAGATGCTGGCCGTGCTGTGGGAACACGGCCTGGCCATCTCCCAAGCTCGCTGTGCCGCTCAGTTCTTCCTCTTCACCTTCTTTGCTTCCATTGACTGCTACCTCCTGGCCATCATGGCCTACGACCGCTACGTGGCCGTGTGCCAGCCGCTGCTCTACGTCACCATCATGACCGAGAAGGCCCGCGTGGGCTTGGTCGCCGGGGCTTATGTGGCCGGTTTTGCCAGTGGCTTCATTCGCACGGTGACAGCCTTCACTCTCTCCTTCTGCGGGAACAATGAGATTGACTTCATTTTCTGTGACCTCCCTCCTCTGCTGAAACTCACTTGTGGGGACAGCTACACCCAGGAGGTGGTGATTGTCGCGTTCGCCGTTTTCGTGATGCCTGCCTGCATCCTGGTCATCTTGGTGTCCTACCTGTTTATCATCGTGGCCGTCCTGAGGATGCGCTCGGCCGGAGGCCGGGCCAAGACCTTCTCCACCTGCACCTCCCACCTCACTGCTGTGGCTCTCTTCTTTGGAACCCTCATCTTCATGTATCTGCGGGATAATTCAGGCCAGTCCTCGGAGGGCGACAGGGTGGTGTCTGTGCTCTACACGGTGGTCACTCCAATGCTGAACCCCCTCATCTATAGCCTGAGGAATAAGGAGGTCAAGGAGGCAGTTATGAAATTCTTGAGCAGATCAAAGGTTTCCAGAAGGCCCTAGCCAGACCCCTGTGAAATATGTCATTTCTCAAATGTCACCTTCTCAGGTGACATTCCTTCTTCCTGCACTATTCTAGTAAAAACTGCACCTCATTACACTCTGACTTATTATTCTATGTAATGTTTGTCATAACTGGACATACTAGATGTTTTATGTGCTTGAGATTGTCTGATACTCACTACTGGAAAGGAATTGACATGAGACACACGTGTTTTCATACCCAGGGCTTAGCAAAGAGTGGAGCACATAAAAAGCCCTCAATAAATAGTTGTTGAATGAATGAAGCTTCAGTGTCTACCTTCGAATTCCATCTTCGTCAGTCCTTAGTTTCTTATCTGCCCCATGGGTTTACTTACTTAAATAAATCTTTTTGTTTTTTTTTGAGCATCTTATGTACGAATGGGTAGGGACCATGTTTGTCTTTATTCACTAATATCTGCTGGCCCCAGTGCATTCCCTGGGACAGAAGTACATGATGAATTGGGAAAAAATATTTGGAAAAATCATGAAGCTGTCTACAAAGGAAACTTCTGTTTTGTTCAAAGGGATTTTCCAAATCCCATCATTTCTTCTCCTTTTGTTTTCCTTCTTTCTCTGTGGCTTGAAATGATAATAATAAAGACTGTAATAATATTAATATATAGCAACTAACATTTATTCGATATTACCTTCCAGAAATAATAGGAGATTTGCTACAGGAATTACCTTATTTAATTTGTAAGATATCCTTATAAGGCACACTCTCTTATTATTCCTGCTTTACAGGTGGACGAAGCACTTAAGCTTAGAGAGGTTGAGCTGTTTTCCCAAGGTCAGCAAGCAAATGGTAGAGTGCCACTTCCACCCAGCCAGAGTCCAAGCTCTTAATTGCCATACCTCCTGTCTCTAGCTGTGATCTACTGCCTGCTCTAAATCACTCAGCCCAGAATTTATTGTTATTGTACTTTTCTTTTTCCTTTTATCTGGTGGATAAAAGGTAAAAGTCCAATCTTCTGGAAGTAGAAGGAAGTTGGCATCATTCATTTTATAGCCCAAGTGCTAGTGCTGTGTAATGTGACTGAGTGTGTGTGTGTGTGTGTGTGTGTGTGCACGCTCGCACGTGCACATATAGTTGTGCATGAGAAAGTGAGGTGTGCAGATTAAACAAATGGCAGCTTTCAAACTCTAAAAGGTAAAGATATAGGGGAAAAAAAACTGTGCAGGTGGCCACAACATTGGAGTTCACCTGTCAGCTTTCGTGTCTTTGCATCAAACACCTAAAAACTGCTGAATGGGGTGAAAACAATCCAAGGTTTGGCCTTGTTTCAAATATCAACTGCTATGTAAGTGTTCCCTCAACACACTGGCTTCCTGTGAGTGTTAGATGTGTTTATGTTGTAGAAAAGTCTTTGAATTTGGCATCATTGTATCCAGTTTATTATTTCTTAGCTGTAAGGCTTCAGATTAGTTAGTGCCTTTCAACCTGCTTCTCATCTATGAAATTCTACTTACAGAGCACTTACCCTGCGTGGGCTTTCCATGTATCATTTATTCTTAAAACCAACTGGGTGCTTGTGGAGTAGGAGTGTGCTGATTAAGCTCTATAACCATCCATACATATTACTAAAATGATCATCCAGGTTCCAGAACACAAAGAGCTGATCTGTGGGCCTTTTTATTTCAGAACTGTCTGGAATAGTCCCTCCTGGTCCCATGAGCTTTGGAGGTAGACACTTCTACAAGTGGAGAGTTCACGAATAATTTTTAAACTTAACTCTTAAGTTAATGCATCCTAAGCACATGCAAGGCACTATGCTAAAAGCTTTACATGAATCATTGATTTTAGTCCTAGCAACTGTAATGGAAAATAATTATTATTGACTCCACTTAGCAAAAGAAAAAAAAAAAACCCACTAAGACCAGAAAGGTAATGTGACTGAACTGACTGAACTGAAAGTACGTAGCAAGAAAGTGGCAGACGATGAAGGTTCTGCTCTGAGGCCTTTCACTCCAAAGTGCCTCCTCTTAACTGATATCTGCCTGCCCTGCCCTTTCTTTCTCCAAGGCCCCACATTCTTGAGATTTTCTTCAGAGTTGTCCGGGTTTCAGTTGCACTCTTGTTCTCAATGTTCTGTCACTGTGGGCTGCAGTGGGGACATTTTTGAGACTGACATAAATGCCAAGTTCATGAAACTTACCTAGGCACCTCCCATGGGACAATGTGGAAGGTCTGGGGGTATTTTCAGCTCCCTCAGAAAGAGCAGGATTGGTTCAGCGGAACTATGCCTACCAAAGCCTTCCCAGAAAGACCTGTTCTGTCAAAGCTTTTTCCAATAAACAGCTAATCAATATGGTGCCACCATGCAGTCACCAACCTTGCCTTCAAATCTTCTTTTTTCGGCTTAAGGAATCATTGAAGGAATTGAGATTACTTTCCAAATATGATCATTGCTATTTCTTACTATTTAATACTATGTACAAGTATGGAATGGAATATTTATGTATATATAATTCATTACTTTTGGTTCTATGATCATCAACATAAGATATATTCGAAGGATGTGTCTAAAATCCTTTCTGATTTGCTGACTTAAAAAATGGCTTTGTTGAGGTTTAATTGGCATGCAATAAATTGTATATTTAAACAATTTACCATTTGATATGTTTTAACAAATGAATATGTTCATAAAACTCTCACCATAATCAAGATAATGAATGTATACATCACCCTTAAAAGTTTTCTTATGCTCTACTGTACTTCATCCCTTGTGGCCTTTCCTACTACTTTTTCTTCACATTCCAGAAAAACACTCATCTGCTTTTTGCCATAATACATGAATTTGAATTTCTTAGAAACTTGTGTAAATTTTGTATAAAAGGAATAATGTATGTTTTTTTTCAACTAGCATGATTATTTCAAGAATCATTAACATTGTTGCATATGTCAACAATTTACTTCTTATTGCTCAGTATTATTACATCATACGATATACCATGTTTGTTTATCTATGTATCTGTTTATGGACTTTTGGGTCATTTCCGGTTTTTGGCTATTATAAATTGTCAATGGAAAACCTTTGACTAGAGATTTACTTTCCCCTCTCTTAAGTATATACCTAGGGGTAGAACGGTTGGGTCATAAAGTAGATGTATGTATAACTTTCTAGGAATCTGCTGAAATTGTTTTCCAAAGTAGTTGTATCGCTTACCATTTGCATCAACAATGCTCTCAGTGCATAAGAATTCCACTTACTCCAAATTCTCTTGGACACTTGGCATGCCTAGACCTTTCTTAAAAATCATATTAAGAAAAGATAACAGAAAATCTACCCCTTAATCAATTTTAGAAAAATAAGTGAGGGAGGAGAATTCCATGAAAATAGAAGGGTGATCAGTGGAGCAGAGAAAGGGGATTGATAGGGGAGAAGGAGGGATGGGAAAAGCTCCCTCATGGGATCAAGGACCCCACCAAAGAAGACAGCTGAGGCGAATTGCTGGGATAACTCAGGTCCCCAAAGCAGCACTCTCTGAAGTGGCTCCTGGGCACATTGCAAGCTGTCTCGTTCCTCTGTGATAGTGAGTGCACATTTTCCTTTCATCAACTGTCTTTTGGATGGTGGAGTCTTTGAATAAGAGCTTAAGTGTCTTTTCATACCTGTTGGGCATTTGCGAATCTTCTTTGGAGAAATGTCTGTTGCCCACTTAAAAACATTTGATGTAAATATTTAAGTGACAAATAAAGATGGTATGCATTCAGGGTGACAGTGGGATGACTTTCACTGAGTTCCCTTTGCATATCTGCCCCAAATTAGTTGTTCATGTATGTGGAGACCTATTTCTGGACTCTATATTCCATTCCAATGATCTCTCTGTTTTTGTACCATACCACATGTTGAATACTGATGTATCTCAATTTCAATTAGTGCTAGTCCTTAAACTTCACTATTCTCATGGCCATTTCAGGTATTCTATGCCCTTTGAACTTCCATATAATTTTTAAAAACCAGACTTTCAATCTTTACAAAAAATGGGCTGGGGATGTGGCTTAAGCGGTAACGCGCTCGCCTGGCATGCCTGGGGCACTGGGTTCAATCTTCAGCACCACATAAAAAATAAAATAAAGATGTTGTGTCCACCAAAAACTGAAAAATAAATATTAAACATTCTCTCTCTCTCTCTCAAAAAAATCTTTACAAAAAATGTTTATTGAAATTTTGATTGGAATTGCAATGTTGAATAGAAGTGTGGAGGGGATATAAATTCCTGTTCCTGATCTTAGAGGAAAACTTTCAGTTCTTCACCATTCATTATGAGGATTTCTCATCAGGTTAAGGGAGTTCTGTTTGATTTCTAGTTTGTTGAGAGTTTTTTTTTTTAATGTCAGAAATGGATTTTTGGATTTTTTTCATAAGATTTTATGCATCCATGAGATATCCTTTTGTTTTTTAAATTTTGTTTGTTAATATGTTGAACACACTGTTTGCTTTTGGAATGTATATTTATTCATGTATTTCTGGATAATCTATACTTGGTCAATAGTGTATTATTCTCTTTATTATGAGAGAAAAATAGAAGATATTTTTGATCATTCTTGAGTAGTTAAAAAGGCCACAGATAATATTGCCTAAAGCTGTATGCTAATTTAATTCCATTTATTTATTTAAAAAATTTCTGATTGACACATATTATTGCACACATTTGTACAGTGTGATATTTCCATGCATTATACAATATGTATATCAAGTCAAGGTAATTAAAATTTCTGTTTCCTTACCACTATTTTGTGTTTTGAGACTGCAAGCTCCTCTCTTCTGGTAATTCATAAAATATATAATAGGTTATTGTCAATTATAAAAGAGGTTTGTGTTCTGAGTTATTGACAGTCCTTTGTTAAAAGGAGAATAGAGCAAATGAAAGGAAGACATGTGAGATGTTTGTATCTCCTTACAAATCTGTCTGCAGAAGTCAGTGTCATTTTGATTTCAATGCTGAGGTTGAAAGACAGCTAGGGATGATAGCAAATTAGAAAGTATTTGTAACAGTGGATCTGAAACAGTTTTTCTCTTCTTGGAAAAATTCATTTGTCTTTCTGGGCATTATGTTATTCTGTTCTTAAAGATCAGAGTCTTCCAGGGCTTTGTCAGAATCTTTCTCTCTAGTCACAGGTGATTTCATTCAGCCGTATGTACCAAGCAGTCCTTCTATAAATACTTAATATAAAATTCCTTGCCATGCCGTGACCTACAAGACTCCACCTGGATGGGTTCCTAACCACCTGCATGGCTGTCTCTATTTCCTTCTCCTCCTCATTCTACCCTAGGGCTATCTGCTGCCTGTCCCTTGAGAAGCAACCCTGTCCCTATGTAGGTATCTTTTAAATTCACTCTTCCCTTGTCTTGAAAGTGTCTCCAGATCTTCTCTTGGCTCACTCCTTTGTTTTATTCAGTTTTCTGCTCAAATGCCTAGTGGAGGTGTCCCCCAACTCCTAATCCTCCCTACTTAAAACATGCCTTCCACCCTATTTCATTATCTTCCCCCAACCCTGCTTACTTCTGTCTGCCTTGTTTTATAGTCATCGTTTGTTCATTTACAAGCTCACTGCCTCCTGAACTATGAGGTAAGAGTCAAGAAAGCAGAGACACTGCCCCTGTTTCCTTCTGACTCCCACAGGTACTCATAAATTTTGCTTAGTGAGTGTTTGCAAGCTTTTTATACATGTAGATTTTATAGATCACTCAATATCCAAATATATAGATTTTTTTTGGTCTTTATAGGCATCCATCTTACATTTGCATTACAGTTAGATGGCAGAGGTTTCTCTTAATTTATTGATCAAATCACAAATTGGCTATTCTCAGGCATGGCTAGAGCAAGAGTAATATACCATTCATTTGACTGTGCTGTGCAAAAATCTTATGCTTCCTTAATGACACGAATTACTGGCCAAACATTGCCTTTGCTTAGCAATGTAAAATTATTTTTAATCTTTCTCTGGTTTGGTAGTGCTTGAGGTCATGCATGGTGAGACATTTATTCTCTTAGTCCTGTGGTTAGACGCAGAGACTGGTAAACAGAAGGTTCTCAATAGATGTTTGTTGACGATGACAAATTGAGGTCTAAGGATTATGCAAGCATCTAGATACACATCTCGACTTCTCCTCTGTGAAGATTTGTCAAGGTCCTCATAAGAGTTTGTGACTCTCTCTTCTTTCCCAGTTATCTTCTATGTTCTAATCCTAATTCTAATCCATGTTCTTGAGCAAGCTCCCAATTGGCATATGAGTCTATATCTGGCCAAATCAGCTTTCCTGTTCCTTACTCCCTGCCTTCCAGTCTCCTGTGGAACCTCAAATCCAAAGGCAATAGACAGAACAGGTCACAGGGATAGAGACCAATTTAACCCAAATCTCTTGGGGTAGCCCTCTGTGTTTTCCAAACATGAGTGCCTGATTCCTTCTCTAGAGAGGCTGGGTCAGCATGTCCAGGGTGGGTTTTGGGATGAAAGTAGTAAAACATGGCTGGTAACATTTCTTTTAACATCAGAGAAGACTGAAAGTTTGAACCTTGTTCAAAGCCTTCTTGCAACTAATCTTTATAATTGATGAGTAATCTGTATTTGCTGAGATGCAGTTGCACCAGCAAATGAGCATCAGTCACACACCTCTGAGGGTCTTTTGTGATTAACAGGGTATAATGCCTAAGGAGCTCTAGGCTTAATATTTTCCAGAACTGTGGTGGCTCATATCAGTGCTCTCTCAGGACCGTTCATGGAACAACTGGGATATTTAAAAAGCATGCCTAGGGATCAGGTGATCTCCACTGAACTGCTTTATGTGACTATCCTGATTATTTTCTTAAAATTCAGTAAAATTGACTCAGGGGGAGTTAAAAAGCCTGAATCCACACTACTGCATCTGGACCAAGGAAAAAAGGCATTGTAGGATCTAAAGATGTGAATTTTGGAAAAAATTTTCCCCAGTAACTCTGATGCACAAGCAGCCTAGACCAATCACCTTATTTTGTAGATAAGAAAATAGGCTCAAGAAGGTGAACTGGCATGCTTTAAGGTTAATAGCAACTTGGGGACAGAGTCAGGACCATTACTGATAACTTCTGTATATACATTTCCATGGTTTTCTATGGAAATAATTGAAGTCACCTGGAATCACATTTTTCAAAATGTATTCTGTGCAACACTAGTTCCACAAACCACCCTGAGATGAATTAGTTTCTGTATTATTGAATCAGTTCAGTTTTGAGAAGTGCTGCATACCACTTTACCCTTTAAATTAATATTAGTTGAAAACTCAGAGAAGTTCGCTAGTTCATAACATTTTGCCTCACTTAACTCAGAGTTGCCCCAAATTATTTGAAAGTGGGAATATTCCTTTTTACAACTATTAAACCTCTCACTGAATAGAACTTTGGCAAACACACTTTGGGGAAAAACTACCTAGAGAACACATTAAATAAATGATTAATAGTAACTGGCTTCAAAGCTGCAAAAACTAGACTCTAGGCATTACATGTACCCACTAGTGTCTAAGTTATTAAAATTTTACACCAGAGTTTGGAGATTGCAATCAAGATGTGTGTTGTTGTTGGGACAACAATCTGTATGTGGGGGTGAAGGATCTTGTTTTCAAGATCAGAACTATGTGGGAAATCACCGACCCTTCAGAGTTGGTGGATAGGAGGCAGCTATCTGGAAGTTCATCAAAAGTTGAACCATCCCCTCTCTGTCACAAACTCTGGGCTCCATCATCCACCTGGCTGTGAAGATCAAAGGAACTCAGATGCTCATGGTATCAAAGGAAGTAACCTTCTTTTATTGATGAGCTTCCTCAGAGTTCCTTTCATATCCTGGTTCCTCAGGCTATAGATGAAGGGGTTCATCATGGGTACCACCACAGTGAACAGGACTGCCCCAATCTTGTCTGTGTCCTCAGGGTGAGTGGACGAAGGGAAAAAGTAAACCCCCACAATGGTCCCATAGAAGAGCAGGACCACGGTCAGGTGAGAGCTGCAGGTGGAGAAGGCTTTCCACTTCCCCTCTGCGGATGAGATTCTCAGGACAGCCCTGACGATGCAGGCGTAGGAAAAGAAGATGAGGGCAAAGGGGAAGCTGATAACCGATAAGCCCACGGTAAACAACACAAGCTCGTTGATCACGGTGTCTGTGCAGGACAGTTTGAGCAGAGGGGCCAAGTCACAGAAGAAGTGTGGGAGAGCGTTGCTGTCACAGAAGACCAGTCGAGTGAGCAGAAGGGTGTGTGTCAGGGCTACCAGATTACTGAGGAGCCAGGGGATGACAGTGAGCAAAACACAGAGCCTGGAATGCATGATGGTCGTGTAGGTCAGAGGGTGGCAGATAGCCACAAAGCGGTCGTAGGCCATGACCCCCAGGAGGAAATTGTCGATGACGACAAACACGATGGAGAAGTACATCTGTGTGATGCAGCTCTCATAGGAGATGGATTGACTCTTGGTCTGAATGTTCATCAGCATTTTGGGGACCGAGGTGGAAGTGGAGGAAATGTCGGCAAAGGATAGGTTGGCCAGGAACAGATACATGGGGGTGTGCAGGTATGAATCCAAGCCCACGGCCAGGATGATGAGTCCATTCCCAAGCACAATGACCAGGTACATACCCAGGAACAGCACAAAGAGGAGATTCTGCTGCTCAGCTTTGTTGGAGAGTCCCAGGAGGATGAATTCAGATATGGTGGTGTGGTTTCCTTGATGCATAGTTCTGTGATCCTGAAGAATGGAACACAAAGTCTTCATACCCCCGTAAGAAATAACAAAATGGTACCCCTCAGCCTTTTCAGTGAGTCGGGGCACCTCCTCTAAACTGAAGGAGAAGGAAGTTCCTTCTACTTAGTAGAAGGGCTACTTACTGAGAAACTATCTCAGCAGTGCAGAGACTTAGGAAATGCCTCAAGAAAAAGACAGCACATGATAGATAATTCTCAATTAACAGTTTTAGACTCTAATAGAATTATGAATGTGATTTTTCCAGGTAGTTCTGAATATTGCTTAAATCTCCCAAACTGAGGACCACAGATGAAGCGCATCCCATGTTCCAAAGATGCGAGATACCCCTATAGGAATTACTTAAGAATGAACAAACTCATCCGAAGGCTGCTTCCACTGTTCACTTCATCCTTTCAATCTAAGGAGATAGCATTTTGAAAGGTTAAGAATTCAGGGAAGGAGAGGCAACCCAACATGAGAATCCTCATAGAGGCATACTGTGTGTGACCGCTCCTTCTCACCAGTTAGGGGAGGACTCCGAAAGAACTGCACTCGGGGAATGAATGCAAGAAGGGATGAGCAGAACTCGGCTTCACTGGCACCTTCGTTTAGGTGATCCATGAGAATTTAGAGGATTCATGTGAACTTTCAGACTTGTAGCTCTCCCTTCTAAAAGTGGAAGCTCACTGGATCAGCTCACGATAGCAGGGCAGAGTGAAAAATGGGGGTTGGTAGGAAAACCGTGCACCCCCACTTATGGCCGGGCAGGAGTCTGTGAAGTGAGTGATACAGGGGGTCATTGGAACTCAAGCCACTCTGTTGGGATTCCAGCTATGAAACAGCGTGCTAGGTGGAGGTGGCTGTAGCAGGACGACACCAGAGACAGCTCTCTTATGAAAGGGATGAAGGTGAAAAGTTATTGCCCTTCTCAGGGAACTGCATAATAGAGTAGTCTGAAAAGGACACCTTGGAAGAACCCAAGAATGGTCTCATGAAGAAACATGTCTGACACATGGGAGGCACCAGCGGCTGGGTGTGTCATGGCAATAGACTTGGACTAGCTCACCCCCCCCCCACTCTCGTTTGTCCTTCCTGGCTCTATAAAGCTGAAAAAGAAAAGAAAGGAGGACCCAGACAACCACAATGACAATGACAATGGCGGCCATGTGATGGGGATGTGGGGTTAAAGAATGTGGGAAGAACAGCTGCCTCTGGTTTGTAGATCTCCAAGCTGTACATCAGATGTGAGCTGCGGAGAGAGGACCCTGGCTTTGAAGTGGATGTAAAATGAAAGGATTAAATTGGGCCAGGCTTGGCTGGGCTTGGCTTTTTAACACCTGGCAGTAGGTCTTCAGTGCCAAAGTAAAAGTCATTGTGAAACCGTAAGTGACCCAGAAAACTGCCAGGACTCGCGTGGTATCACCAAAGACTGGGAAGGGAGCGTGGATTAGTGACTTACTGGAAAGGATATCAGTGTGAGAACCAAGCGGGGGTTGACTGCCATCTTTCTACTCTCCTTTTATAGTCACTCTCTCATTTTTCCTCTTTCTTCTCTTGTCTCCCAAGCCCTTTGTCTCTCAAAGGTTTTACTTTTTTTTTTTTCATTCCCATGGAGTGCTCAGGAAACAGTGAATCTCCACCTTGGGGATTCTGGAAAACTAAAGGTCCATGGAGCTTTGAGAAGCCTGGCTTACAAATCAAACAGGGGAGGGGAGGTTCCACGACAAAACTAAAATGAGAGAAGGGACAACTGTGCCTAAGATACAGACTGGTCTTGGAGGGTCTTGTGGTTCCAGGTCTCGGGCTGGATTGGGCTTCACTAGAAAGGGGGCTTGTGTGTTTTTGAGTGTTGATCTCCAGTCTCTCCTTCCTGTTCCCCCTCTCCCAGCCACACACTGTTCTGAGTCCTTGAAGGGACCAGCTGGTTAAGTAAGACCAGTTGCTAAATTTTAAAAAGATTCACCTCTGAATGTCGGTAAGATCTCAGGACGTTACAGCAGTCTGGACTCCGAAGCTTTCTTGTAGCAGATGGGGCCTGGGGGCAGCTGTCATGCACTTCACAGAGCTGCTGAGTTCTTGCTCTGAGCACAGAGCTGCTGAGTTCTTGCTCTGAGCACAGAGCTGCTGAGTTCTTGCTCTGAGCGTCGGCGTTAATGGAGTAGTGATGTTGGGCTCACGGGGGACATTGAGCTCCTTCTGAGTCCTTTGGGATAACATCCCTCAAGTGTTTCCCTAGAGACAAATATTCACACCCTGCCCTTGATGAGGTGAATGGGGAATAGACAGGCAGCTCTGCTTTTCCTGCCTGTTTCTGTTCCTCTGTGTGATTTCCTACTTGTAATTTCGCTGGATATTGCTCTTCAGAGCAAGCCAATTACTGACTTGTGTGAGTCTCATGTTCCTGGGGAGAGGATAGCATCTCAAAAGCCCCTTCTCTGTTTTCTCTCTAGAGCCCGCTGGAGGGGACACTTAGTAAACCCTGGAGAACTGGTTTGCATTCTTTTGCTAGTGACTTTGACTCCAACGAGATGCCATCCCCTGTGGAAGGGTGTAGACCATGACCTCTGAGCACTCCATGGTTGTCAACATTAGAAGGGAGTCCGAGACCCAGTAAGCAAAGGAAATGGATGTGTGCTAATAATATTGACAAGAAACATTGAAATCATATTTAGTGGTTCAAAATACATTGGGAAATCTGAAAAAACAGACCCCCAAATGGACAGGAATGAAAGAAGCTGCACAGCTGGAGATACAGCCCCAATGAATACTTCTCTTCTTCTAATCTATACATGGGCCTCATAACATGGTGCAGTTATTTCTCACTCAAACCAAGAGCACGTATTCTCTTCTAAACAGCAAGCAACTCAACCTAGTTTCATGACATGGATGGAATAACATATATTCATGACTAATATTTAAGATAACGAGGTAATGGGGAAGAAACTAAAGGCAAGTTATTCTTTCTTTCTATCTGTGCATCAACTCTTCCCACATAAAATTCTTCTTCTTTTCTGGACTATCTATCTATCTATCTATCTATCTATCTATCTATCTATCTATCTATCTATTTATCTATCTATCTACTATCTACATGTCTAGTCACAGGAAGGAAATGTGGGTAGAGTTAGTATCTTTTTTGTTGGCAATTGGTCCATGAGGGATATTTATCAGTCACTTCTCTTACTGTTTTAAGACGGGCCCAAGGCAAGAATTTAAGTCTTGGTATTTTATTGAAAGGAAAAACCTCAGAGAGGTTAGGAGGAGGAATACAGTCCTCTGAGGCTACGGTAAAGGCAATAAAATGTAACACAATGCATTACTCCAAGAATCATTGTTTACAACAGGCATGGAAGAGCCAGAGAAGATTATTCCTCAGATATGTTCACTCAGAGTGTATTTGTTATGGAAGGAGAAGTCACAGCCCGGAGCGGTCTACAGAGGGGAGATAGGAAGGCATCTTTATATGGTCTTTCCTTCTCATCTCCTGTTTTCCATTAGCTAAGGTTCACTCCATGTCTTGAGCTTCCACCTTGCATTCTCTGGCCACTTGGTAGCCACACAAGAAGTTAGGAACCTTGCTCCACAATATACGTCTCTCACTCTGAGTCTAGAAGAGAAAGGGAATTTTGTGCGGGAAGAGTTGATGCACAGGCTCAATGTCACTGGCTCAGAGAAGTTGGGAAGAGGAAGCAGGCTTTGAGAGGTGGGTGGTGTTGTTAGAAAGAGGAGGGACATGTGTGTGCAAGGCAGTTCACCACTCGTGCTACCTGGATTGGCTCATGCTGTCCCATCCACAGTACAGTGTGGTGACTCCAGTTTCTTAGGAGAATGAAAATATTTGAATGGGGAAACAAAACTCTCAGCTAATACGGAGAAATGTTCCTTAATCTTTTATTTATTATTGCTCAGATACTACCTTAGGAGCCTTTGTAGACTTTTATCCTGGATTCTTTTCACAACCTCACCTCCATGACATTAAATACTTTGGGAAAACAATTTTTTTTTTCAGATGGCATTGAGCTTTGGAGAGAAACACATTATGACAATATCTAAGATTTTTTTCTCCCCTGTAGGATTAAATTTGGGCCATGTGGATGTGAACTTGTCCCTGTTGAGAAGGCATTGTCTAGAGTCTCCCGCAAGTGGTGCTCTGTCTTGATCAAAAATGCCAAGGCAGGACACTGTCCACATGCATTCCAGAGTCTTCACCTCCATGGCTGTCACCAGGGCTCTGATGGACATTCTCCACTCTGTCTTCCATCCCTCACACTTCAGCTCACAGTTGACCAGTGTTGGTCTTTGGGAGTTGGACCTTTTTCCCTGAAGGATCTCAATTCTTATGGCCCTGATCTTGCTGGGTTTTGGTTGTGATCATTGCTTATCACAGTTTATAGTTTTTTTTTAAATTTTTATTGTTGGCTGTTCAAAACATTACATAGTTCTTGACATATCATATTTCACACTTTGATTCAAGTGGGTTATGAACT